ATATCAAATTGTCCAAATGAAAGAAGTCTTATCCGAAACATTCAATTAAAACTGTATAATATCATCTGAATTTTTTATTGTTGTAGGAATAAAAATTAGGTACTGAATTCTTTTGAGACGAAATAAAATTTGATATATGAAAGATTTTAGTTTCAGAATTTTTCAAAAGTCAATTTGGCAATGTTTCTCGAATGTGTATAATGTTCAAAACTCATTGCAATTTCATGCGAGTAGTATTCAAAATCTATTCATGTTACATCATCGATTGAGTTAGATAACTACATCACGATGCATATATAATTCAGTCATACTAAAACTTTGGAAGAAAGTATTTGTCTATCTAGAAGTGATAGTTCAATATAATTTAAGTAAGATCAGTGCCGACTATTATTCTACTTCCATTTATTTCTAATATTTAGTGATTATCTTACTATGAAAATCGTCATAGTGAGTTCCATTGTCAGACCATAAATCATCTAGTTTGCCGTTCCACTTTTTTCTCTAATATTTCAGATCATTCAAATCACACGAGCAAAATTTACCCCTCAAGGAATTCAAAAGTGAGATAGACCCTTTGATTGAAGTCAGTTAGATACTTGAGAACACTTTTACCTGAGGGAAGGGGGTTAGGACCTCTGATGGTTCGGAAAACTGGACGCTGAAATGAACATTTCAAAAGCTCAGGGCAAAGAGGTCCTGATCTAACAGGTGAATTGGGCATGAAACTTTTGAAGAGAGGTCGAGTGAAGATATGTGAATTTATACTAATATCCAACTAATATAAATAACTCAAAAATTAAGGCGCCCAGTTCACTTGAAGGGCCATTGTCCTCTCAAAATTCTGGCAGGTAATTCAACCCTTCGTACTTATCCAATTCAATATACTTCTCCTCCTTGGAATTGAGGTTAAATTTGTAATTTCGATGATTTGAGACGACAAGACCTTGGATGGAGTTTTATTCTCTGACAAGTAAGAGTATCGCCTAATAATATTAGAAGATCAATAATATCAGTAGAATGAATTCTGAATTGAAGAGATAGTTAAGAATGTTTGCGCCTCTGAAAATTCAAATATTTTTGAGTTTCAATGAAGTATGTTTTCTTTAAAAGGGATTTTCCGCACTTCTATTTTCTGCCAATTCTCGACGGTTGGCCGATAGTTACTGTTACGAAGTTAATTGCCGTTCTGCCTCCCCATTTTTTTTTGGGCAGGTAAATATTCAAAAAACTGTACCATTTCGATGTGAATACCCGAGAAGTTTTGAGTTGGAACCAACTCAGCTAAACGCCTATTTTAAAACTGCAAAGATGACTTTATTCTTTCGACTAATAAGGAGTATTCTTTAATTATTAACATCCAGTCAACTAAACTTTGTTTTCAGCTGAAGTGGACTAAAGTCGTGCCAAGCAAATGCGTCTCAGTCTATACGTTTAAAATGTGAAAATGGTTTCTCTGTTAATCAGATGTCGCCCCCTCACGAACAAAAATACTTCTGAAACGAAATTTTTGCGAGTTACGGAATAATGAGGTCTTACAGTATAACGTATGATTCCTATCGTGGACGCAGTGAATATCGGATTTCCGAAATGGTATCATACCAACGTTATCATAACGTTAAATTGAATGATTAAGGCAAACAACTCACCGGTTTAACAAGACTTTACACCTGGAACTACTACGGCTCTGACGATGTTTCCTTGTAGATGACAGAAAGTGGGTAATATTGGAACTATTCATACAACGCGATGACAATCGGTTAGCCGTATTTTGGGAAATAATAGGGTTCATAACCTGAAAATTGGCAAATACATATACTTTTTTATTATGCCTCATCGAATTGAAATAATGGCGGTTTTTCATCACTTCCGGTTATACCGGAAGTTGGTACCAACTTCCTTAAATCAAATGTATATTTGTGTATTCGGCTCACGAGTGATTCCCCCATATAATTCGAAATTTTGATAGAATACATAAATGAGCTATTGTTGATTCATTGGAATAATTTTCTCCATCTTATTGTAGTATCAACATTTCCAAAATGATATAGAAGGTGTTTGGAATCGATGACTAAATCTGAAGGTATAAAATTAGGCCAGAACTCAGTATTTTCAAATGAAACACCCTGTATTCAGGATAGTTTTGAAATTCGGAGATAATTTCAACTCATTTTCATGAGACATTTCCTATAAAAAATCAACCGTTCACGAGATAAGTCAGTTTGTCTTGAAAAAATTAAATATACGTTTGTCCACCATAAAACTACGGGCTACGAAACCTTCATTTCGAAGAGGTAGAGAATATTTAGCTATTAATTTTCCGTTATGGTGAAAGACAGGATTTCATCGGCATTTAGGGCGATGTAAACTTTTCCAACCAAATTCTCTTAGTTAGTATTCTTTGAAAGATATTTTTTGTGGAGGACTCAATACTCCCTTTTGTTTTTGTATATATAACTCTCCACAATCTGAAAAAATAAATAGAGGTAAATCAATAGAGAATCTGCTAAAGGGTGAACTGAACAGTTCACCCCGAAAAGTTACTGCGTAATATGAACTACTGAGGAGTCCAATTGGTTAGTAACTTGTATTCATGACTCTTTCCAACATATTGAAAAATAAAATCGAAAAAATTATATACAGCTTTCTTTAGAAAGCAAATATAATAATGAATGCCTGGAAGTTTTTAAATAGATTTTTATTTTGTGTAAAAACATAATGTAATATTTTGAACATTTTCAATTTATTCATCTGAATCCTGTCTTCATGAGGGCAAATTATATTAGTTCTAATAAACTATCTGTAACTGTTCGAAATGAAGGTTTCGTGGTCCGTAGTTTTAAGATGTACATGCGTATGTTTTATTTTTTCACGACAAACTGAAATGTCTCTTGTTGATTTTTGATATAGGAAATGTATCATGAAAATGAGTCAAAATCATCTCCGAATTTCAAAACTATCCTCAAATACAGTATGTTCTTTTTGAAAAAACTGATTTTTGCCCCATTTTTCATACTTTCATAATTAGTCATTGTTTCCGAACACCTTGAATAATTTGGAAATGTTAATCCTACGAGACGATTCAAGTATTTATTATTTATGTATTTTATTAAACTCTTGAATTTTATGGGGAAATCACTCGTGAGCCGAATACCTAGTTTTTTTTTTGAGTAAACAAATGAATATTTCGAAAACGGTATAGAGTATGAACTCACATTAGAATTATGCCAGGTATAGAAAATGTGAGAATATACAGGGTGTCATTTTTGAATTAGGGAAGTTGATACCAATTTTCGGTATAGCCGGAAGTGTTCGAAAAACAACATAATTTTCATAATATGAAGAATATTAAAAACTCTTTGTTCCCAGTTTTCAGGATTTGAATATTTTAATTTCTCAAAATACGGCTAAACGATGTTCATCATGCTGTACCCTGTATGAGTCGATTAACTTTATGTAGTTCATTTCGATAATCAAAAATCTCACTTGTACAACTCCAAAGATTCTATCCAAAGTATTCGGGAAATTTCGTTGAATTTGGTTGTTTTAGTAATATATGTACTTGGCGAAATGTTGCCCACGCTATAATAATATTAAATATATTATCCAGTTTTCTCAAAACATGATTACTTTGCCCTTTTTTATACCACTGAGTGTTTTCGATAGAAATATCATGAATAGTATTGCATATGCAATGCCTCAACAGCATTATGTTGAAGCAATTACAGTTTTCAGGAAGAAATAATCAGTTTTGATAACGCCAACTTGGATGGTGGAAAGCGCGTTGAGAGGAGTATTGTCATGATAGTATTGGATTTATTCTGAACTGAAGGCTTCAATCTTATATTGCAGTTTCTGAAAAAGAAAAAAATGGTCGGTCGGTAGCCGGTCGGTTCGACGTGGATGCTTTGTTCACTCACTCAAATTGACCGCCGTATTAGTCGGTGATTCAAGCCCCAGGCTGAACGATCGATTTTCACTTGCTAACGTCCAACCCGTGTTAGGAATCACGTTGAAAGGTAAGACCTCGTTAGTCCTTAGCTCGCACAATTTTAGACTTCTGAGGGTTGTCGCTTGTAGGGGTGCGACAGCTGGTTAACAGAAAAAACCAGATTTTAACAGTTTTTTTTTAACTCATTATAATATACACAAAATAAAATCAAACAGTTTGATAGCATGATGGAAACTCAAAATGAATGTAGAAAAGAATTAGATTTTGGAATATATTACTTCATGTTGTTATGAAATTATATTTCATACATTTAAAATCCAAAGAAACTTTGATATGGATTTCAAAACTGAACATATATTCATTCAGTAATTTTCAAAGTACTCTTCAATTTATCACTCTAATATCAAATAATTTGATGATGAAAAATCTGAGAAAATTATGAGGTGGTGCCGTGTTCTATGAACTTTTTCCATGGAAAACTAGTGATGATAATTATTTTCCAGATCACTTTTCAATATAGTTTTGTAAATGATAAATTTCAAACACAGTTTTCATGCAAAGATATAAATCTGTTACAAAAATGTGAAGATTGGGAAACTAGAAATAGTAATACACTGTATTTAGGTGCGGTGTTGAAAAATCAAATGAGGTAAGAAGAAAATTGTCCTTCTCCACTAGAGTGGGCGAATGAAATTCGCAATATGAAAACGCACAAATGGTATTTTTTTAAACAGAATAAATTTACTATTAATTGAACTGATATATCTTCATTTGTGCTATTTCAAAACTGATTTCGTAACATATCTCAACGAATTTCCGAATTAATTATTAATTAATATTTCTAAACTATCTATAACTTTTCCTAACAGTAGGCATCTGCATCTTTCATTTCTCAAAAGCAATTCTTACATAACTGTTGCAATGAAATGTATCGCAGCAGAGGACCAAGTGTCATCTCTGACCGAATATAAATTATGCAAATTCGGGTGGAGAATACCATAAATAAAGTGAAGAGTGGAAGTGATACATTTTGTCGGAGCGTGAAAGTAAAATTCGCCTCATGAGGTGTGGCCCCGTATAAATACTGAGCCATTTCTTTCAAACCCCATCATTTCATCACTTTTCACATCCCAAGTTCAGCATGAGATTATTACTGGTAAGCAGTGATTATTCATAGGTGTACGAGTATGTATATGTTTTGTGTATTTATTTTTCTTGTGTGGTAACAAAGCGACGTTCTATACGTGTTAGTTGAGATTGTCAACAAAACTCATTCAATGGAAGTTATCAAAAAATCAAACACTTTAAATGATCCAAAAGTTGAAATTATATAAAAGTTTATTGAAATTATTGTCGTTTATTATTGTTGTTGTAGTAAAAGGATATTGAAAAAACATTATCATAGAGACTGGACATCTCAACATATTCTCAATAATGGCTGAAAAAGAACTTATTGATTTGTTCACGATTGTTTTCCTATAAACGACTTATCATTTATACAGAAAAAAATCACTGTAGGTGTTTGATTTAATTTTTTAGGTTTGATGATATATTTGAAATTTCTCGGTCACAATATTCAACTTTTGCCTGATTCAACCACATCTCCAGCTCGAATGAATTTTTTGTGGATTGTTTGCAGCTCAACATGATTAGACAGTTTTTCCGCCTCAATATTTTTATTTTCTCGTTCATCTGCACTTTTGGAAAAACCTCAAAAATCAACCGTCAAGTGTTTCAGTGACTTTAAAAAAAACATTTGAATCCATAACAAAATTAACGTATCTGCGTTACTCGAATATGTTTATTCAGATATATTTCCCAAAATGTTACTAGTTACATAACCTTACAATATAGAGATGAGAAAACGAATCCATCTTCAAATAAAGTTTTTTATAGGAAAAAATGTCAAATAATCAAAGAAGGTGGAATAAGGTTTGAAGGTAATGAATACTTGTGTAGAAATAAGGGAGGGCACCAATTTCTTCTTTGGGTTCGTAATCGACACATAAAGATACTTGAGTAAACACACATTTGTTTTTCCAAAATCAGAGGGTGCAGCGTGTCCGGTATTTTACCAAATGAATGTACTTTTTATAAGATTTCTAGATTCTATGACGAGCAAACAAAAAATATTTCAATTGAAGTATAACATCTTTTTGATCCGAGCAAAATATGAAAACCGGTATTTTGTCATAACAGCATTCTTATATATTACAAGTGACCCATTGTGATCAACGAAGGACGCACATTTGACTGCAGCAAAAATTATATATTAATGAAATTTAGAGCTTGAAGTGAAAGATAAAATATGTTATGATTCAATGGAACAGTTTACAAAATGTTGGAATTGTATTTCTTCAAAATATTAACAGACTTAAAATCTTAAAAAGATATGTATAAAATAAAAAATTTAGGACTAAAATTTCATAACGGTGAATAAATGAAAGTTTAATGAACAAATCTCATAAACAATAAGGTATGTAGTATGTATTTGTAAATGAACGAACTATTTCGAAGTAGAGAAGTAGTAAACATTACATAAAAATAAAGTAAACTGAAAAGGAAATCGATTTGAAGTTGAAATTCTCTCGACTTTTTTAGGATCTTTGTATTATTTCGATAATACATGATTATTTTAAGGCCTTTCTGATGCATTATTATTCAAGCATTTTCGATAAAATTACTATTCCTATAACAATTTTTAAATATTATTTCATTCACGACGATCAATATGTTTCAGAATTATTTCATTTCATTCAATCATCATTTCTACTTGTTGGTTTTTTATTACCCACAATCTAAAAATTGAACACATTCAACTCTAAATTGAGAAAACTAGAAATTTCACTTATATACCTCTGAAGGGTATAATTTGTCGATAACGATATAGTTTCCCCTTGAATATGATAAATCAATGGATAAAATGATCCATATACTCAACTTCACGAATAACTAACTTTTCGGAAAGCTCTTTCTGAAATAATCAAATATTCAGATGTCATACTCGATAGTCAAAATAAACACACTCATACACACAGAATGTTATCTGACAATTGAATTTAATAAAGGCTGTTTTTTGGGTTTTCTGGCCGTAGTCCTGAGGCAGCAGTAGACGAAACCTCAGGCATAAAAACTTGCAGACCATGGCCAGAATATCCGAAAATATCCTCCGGCCGTGAAAGTTTCCATTCTAGAATTCAATTCAAGTTTGTATTTCCCTTTTCAGGCCAAGTACGATTCATCCCCACAGAGTTGGCTTATTCGTATGGTTAGATCGATTTCATTTCATTTGAGTTCTTGTTATTTTTTTTCATGTGTCCACAATATTTCATTTGTCTCACAATCAAGTATCTTGATATTTCTACAAAATAACCTCAACCGAAGAAACAAGATACGAGAATACGTTGAATACACAAAACTCATCTCCACTATAGGAAAAGTCAGAAAATTCAAAGAATTCAACTTTATGGAAACTGATCGTTCCAAGTAACCATTGCTAAGATTTGAACGTGTATATTCAGACTATCGAATATGACATCTGTTTCAACATGTTATTCTTTTGATTTCTATCAATGAAAGATAAACTTTCCAAATCGAAATGTTTATTTTTTACGAAGAATTTGAGTATTTGGGAATGAAAATAATCTTCAATAATTGAAACTTCAGAGGTTTGGACTACGTAGTAACTTTACAATTTGCCCTTCATTATACTAAAGCAGATTTTATGCTGATAGATGTTTAATTCATTTTTCAAAAAATAATTCAAATAAATCATGATTGTTCTTCATTATAAAGTCAGCTGAGTGTAATTATGAATACTAATGACAAAAAATGGTATACTATCAAGTAAGAAAAGTAATTTAATGGTTGAGAATCCTTAGGAATCTTAAAAATAGTTAGATCATTGTTAGCGGAATCTTCTATTTCAATACATTCATCATTTTATATAATTACGACATTCCATTTCTCCCCCAACAGTTCATTTCTTTGCTTTCAGATTTTATCATCTACATTGATTTTCTCGTCCCTTGTGAAATGCGGATACATCTCTGGACCCCATTCTGACCTAACTCCTCCACCACCATCATCAACATACGGGGTCGGGTACGGATCTGGACAAAGCAGCAGCTTCAACTTTGGATCTGTGAATGGATTATCCTCGTCACATGGACAATATGCAAGTGGGTTCAACTCTGGAATATCTACCGGGTACGATATTACCGGCAGAGGAAGTAGTTCGAGTGGAATTGGATTGGGTTCATTTGCTGGTCACGGAGGTTTCGGTAGTGGAACCAGCTCGAGTGGTTTCAGTTCAGATTATTCGGGAACACTCGGTTCAGGGTATGCCCAAGGAATAAATTCAGGTTACTCAGGTGGCTTGAGCTCTGGATTGTCTGGTGGATCTTTAGATATTGGTGGATTTTCTGGAGGATTTGGCGGTGGTGCATCCTTTTCACAAGGAGGAATCTATGGTTTGAATAGCTTGTCGCTGGGGTCTCTGGGAAACATCAATGGCGGAACTACTTACTCACACCAAACTCAAACGGTCAAAATTCCTGTACCACAACCATATCCTGTCTCAGTCTCTCGACCAGTACCAGTACCAGTGCCAGTACGTAGACCAGTGGAAGTACCACGTCCAGTTCGAGTTGAAGTACCTCAACCAGTCAAAGTAGTCGTTACAAAACCATATCCCGTCACGGTCTCGCGCCCTTACCCAGTTCCCGTCAAAGTGAAAGAATATGTCAAAGTACCAACCCCTGTGCATGTCAACGTACCCAAACCTTATCCAGTAGTGATATCCAAACCATATCCCGTATCTGTACCAACTAAAGTAGAAGTTAAAGTACCAGTACCTGTTAAAATATATACCAATGCTCAAATTGGTTCCACTTCCATTTCAAGTGGATTCGGATCTGATTTTGGATCTGGATCAGTAGGTGGTGGTTACTCTGGCGGATCTGGATTTGGAAGTGGTTACTCTGGTGATTTCGCTATTGGAGGCGGTTATGCATCTGCGAGTGGAATAAATTCCGGAAATATATTTGCAAGTGGAAGCGGATCTATTGGAGATGGATATGCCTCCGGATATTCTGGTGGATATTCAAGTGGAAGTGGGTCTTTTACTTCAAACGGCAATCTAGATTCTTTCAAACAAAACTCGTTCAGTGACACCAGTTCTGGATACGACTCTGGATCTGGATTCAACGTTGGACCTGCATATTCCTTCGGTAATTCCCATTCTGACTGCAGTAATAGTGTAGTCAGTGATAATTCCAATCAAGGTACAGCTTACGATAGTAATGGTGGTTACAAATATTGAATTTTTTCTGCTGACTAATTTATCTAGTCTATTTTTGAAGTGTACGAATGTTTAGTCTGTAGTAATAAATATTTATCGAAAACAATATTGTTTTCAATGTTGTTTATCGCCCTTGGACCACAAAAGATATCCAGTTAAGGTCACACTGAATGATTCATGAATGCAAACAGAAGTGAATTCACAAATTAAATTTTTAAAGGTGTAGATAATGGAAAAATATCATGAATACAAAAATGACTTCTAACTTATCGAATAATTCAAGAAATTAAGTATAATATATAATATAATATAATGAAAAATTATTGCAAATGCATGAATACTTCCTGCGGTGTTTTTATTCCTAGTTTCATTCATATTTTCCGTTAGAAATTAGATTTTTCAAAAGACATGTCAGTTCAGTGAATAAATTCAACGTTTGAGAATATATTTTGAAGTAGGATATTTCCAAGGATCTCTTGCGATTGAAAATAAATTTGGAACACAAGTTGCTCTTCTGTGATTGACCTAGTTGTAGTGAGTTATAAAGGTGTGAGTTATGGTTCATTTTGGTTACTTACACAACAAAAAACGGTCACCTAATTGATGTTTTTTTCAGTAGGCATAGAAAAAAAATCAGGTTCATCAAAATTAACTTTCAGGTGCTCCGATGTTGTTTTGTGAATTAGTTCAACTTTAATTATTCCCGGTATTATTTCATTCACAAGTCAATTATGAGCCATACATCAAGTACATCATGAAATTGTGGTCTAATGAACTTCGTCGTTCCATATTTTTGAAACAGATTATTCATTGAATAGTGATTGGTCGTAGAAAAGTCATCTAGTTATTTTTGAAAAAACTCATCACCTGGATGATTTTCCAAAAAAAACAACGACAGAAAATGGAGAACCAATGTGATAAATACGATAACCACTATACTACATATTTCTAGTTGTAAACCAAAATTAAATTTTCAATATCTGACATACGAAATTGTACAGAATTATCATGTATCCCAATTCTACGGTATTTTTACAAACTTTTTTGAATTATTAGACAAAAGTAATTTTTGTGGAATAAATCAGTTTTCTATTGACCTTCCTTGAGGTGAAAAAGTATTAGAAGGGTTTATACAGGTTGTGAAATCATAATTAAAGTAGAAACGGAGTCAAGATGATTGAATATAGAGCGCAGTAACTTATCGGGGTAACTTATCGCAGTAACTTATCGGGGTGAACCAGAAGTTTGCCCTTTGTACTCCTGTGGAAATTTCTCTATTATGAATTTAATTTTTTTTAGACTGCGGAAGGTGGAATTCCCCAAATGAGTCATTACATTTTTTTGAAATCATTCGATACATCTTTCTTCATGATTCAATAAAATAAGAGCAACAATAAAACTTTTCTAGATTGTAAATTACTTGTTCATTTCAGCATGTCTGCAGAGCATTCAAAGGGAAATATTAAGTGAATGTAGTACAAAAAACTATTGATCAAATTGACAAGTCTTTTATTCGAGTAAAACTGTGGGAGAAACTCAAACGATTTTTTATTTCATCAATTTGTCAACTATAATATTTCATTCATATATAATTCAATTGTTGTGAATTTGTTCTTTAAGTAAATAGATGTTTTTTTCGACCAAGTGATATTCAAGAAATTCAAAATTGAATGACATTGGAAATAATTCCACATTGCCTGTTATTATCAAATTCAATAGTCCTTCTCAAATTTGTGATAACCTTCTTGGATAAATCTCATTTCGAAATAAGTAAGTTATAGAAAAAGTATAATTCTTCTATTCGCGAAAATTCAGCAATACTCCTTCGAATAATTCACGCCACGAGTAATACCAGCCAAGAATACCAGTTTCGTGAAACCCATTCACTAAATCAAGCACATACCGGTGACTTACATTACAATTTGGATGTATTTCGTTAAAAACACATGCCACCCTTCATGCGCACTTTACAACTTCCCCATAAATTACAAAAATTTCAATGCCGTCTTGAAGAATGTAAACCATTTTTAAGTAAACAAAAAAAAAATAATACTATCACGAAGGAAACGTGTGAACTTCTTACAAACGATGAGGAAAAAGCTGACGAATTCAATGGTAACTTTGTGAATTTTGGAAAAATTCTTTCATGACAAAATTGGAAGGGACACTCACTATGAAAGCACATAAAAAATCCTACGAACGCTAATCTAATATATAAAAATGGATGTTTGTTGGTGGGTTGGTTGGTTGGTTGGTAAGTGATAAACGTCTACATCGCTCAACCGATCGTGATGAAACTTGACATGTATAAGTAATTTTTCATAGAGAAGGTTTTTAGGCTATCAATTTTTCTGTAATTCGTCACTAGATGGCGCTGTAGAACAATTTTTCCCAAGTTCGTTGATTCTGATTCTGTCATAATATTGGAATAGCAGCGATACAGCAACATAGTACTAGTATCTAATATATAAAAAAAAAATGGATGTTTGTTTGTTGGTTGGTTGGTTGGTAAGTGATACACGTCTACATCGCTCAACCGATCGTATTGAAACTTGACATGTATAGGTAATTTTTCGTAGAGAAGGTTTTTAGTCTATTAATTTTTCTGTAACTCGCCACTAGATGGCGCTATAGAACATTTTTTTGAAAGCACTGTTCCATAACGCTGCGCACGCCTAAGTTCGTTGATTCTGATTCTGTCAAAACATTGGAATAGCAGCGAAACAGCAACATAGTACTAATTAGTACTTCAACTACCAAATTCTACGCAGGCGAAGCCGCAGGCAACAACTAGTGCAATATAACATTTAATGAATGTACTGAAAAACAATAAATCTCCTGGAATTGACTACATGAGAGCAGAACTATTGAAGGAAATATCATACCATATTTCAACTCCCCTATCATACATAATCAATGAGGTTATTGAAAAAGGAATATGGCCTGACGCCTTCGAAAATTCTGTTGTAGGGCCAGTTTTTGAAGATGGTGATACAATATCCATCAGTAATTATAGACCAATTTCTCTCATTACCCAATTGGCAAAAATATTCTAAAAACTCCTGAAAACCAGAATAACCTCATTTATAAGTAAAATCAAATTGTTGTCTGATGAACTGTTTGGATTCGGGAAAAACTCTCCAGTTTAGATGCCATTCTCAATTTAACAAACAAAATTCATACATCTCTAGGCAGAGGAAGACCTTGTCTGTGCCTATTCATCGATTTGAGTGAGACCTTTGACACTGTGACCCACATGTTATTCTTTCAAGCGTTAGAGAACATGGGTATCAGAGGAATGGTATTGAATTTATTTGAAAGCTATTTGAGTTCAAGAAAGCAAGTTGTTAGAGTGGGTGATAAAATAAGTCAAAAATTACATTGAATATAGAGTACCACAAGATCTTGGGACCAACACTGTTCAATCTATACCTCAATGACTTCAATACAATTGGAGAAATTATCGATTTTGCAGACGACAGTGCTGTTTTTTATAAAGCTGATACTTGGCTTAATCTTAGGAAGAAAGTAAAGAAATACATCAAGACTATAAAATACTTTTTCGATCACAAACTCCTTACCATGAATCTCAAAAAAACTGAATTTCTACCCTTAATAAGTTGTGATGCTGATAGTATGACAAATTTGCAAGATATCAATATACACATAAATGGTGAGATACAAGGTATCCAGTCAGTGGATGAAATAACATATTCATGCGTATACCTAGATCGGCATCTAAGATGGGATAGACGTATCAACAACGTGATAATAAAATTACAAAGTATGATTTTCACCTTCAAAACATGAAAGAGTATCTACCATCGAAAAACTTGAAAACCTTGTACCTTGCACATATCTCAGATATGGAATACAGGTATGGAGTGCCGCTGTGCGATAATACGATAATCTACTAGAAATCCTACTAAGAAGGTTCCTGAAAATAATTATGTCAAAACCGCGTGGATAATCTACCGAAGCACATCACATCTGAATAGCACATCACATATTATGGATATTCGTCACCTTTTCTATTTAAATACGTGTATAACATATCACTTCAGTATTGATAAAGCATCTCATCCCAGTCATCAGTTCATGACTAGAGGCCACCAACTACTCACTCACCCGTTAATAAAAAATCACTAGATATCACAGAGAAGCCACATTAATATTGGCATGGAATGTATAACTCCATCCCTGGAAATGTAAAATATATTCTCAACAAAAGAACATTTAAATTGTCACTTCCGCACAGGCACCACTCTTGGAGAGCCTGAAAGATTTTCCTGCAGTGTTTTGTCTTTAAAAAAACACCAGTATATGCAGTATACAATACTTTCACAAATCAAATATTTTTATGTGTTCATTCTACTCTCATTTCCAAACCCATTTTTTGTGTAATTTATTGAATAATGAAAAATCAACACTATGAAGACTGAATTTTATTTGCCATAAGTAATAAATATCGCGATTTTTTCGAGGGTATACTATGAAACCTTCAACAATGCATTGAATATTGGCACTCATAATTCAATTAAATACAGCATTTGTGTAAGAATAATAACAGAGCTTGGAGTACTCGTACTTTGTATAAAGTTCATGAATCACCTGCTCTTCGGCGTTTCTCCATAATCGCTATACATCAAATTTTCATTTATGTAACTTTGTTTGATTATTAGGTACTATATTTATTGGAAAAAAAGGTCTATTATTATTATGAGTGAAACAACAATATCTTTCAAAGAATCGCAAATGGTACCTTACCATATGAATTTTGAAGTAGCGATTTTATCAGTTTAAGGTTGAAAATCACTTGACCATATGACAGCCAATCAGGAATTGAAGCATTTCTCTTTAGGGCCACTGCCCGAGCAGCTGATGAACTTGATTTAGGTTTCGACACTGAAAGAGGTGATCACAAGTCTGTCATCGAGTTGGAACCTCTTCAGCAAAAAGCTCACATAAAAGCCGCAGAAATCACCTCACTTTTGGGGAAACACAAGGATAAACCAATGCATAGGGTCTTCTTCAACAACAATGAAGACCTTAGCTTATCAAAACACCTGACTTTCGCTTTCCTCAGGTTGAGTGGGCTGGAGT